CATGCCCTGCGGCCACTCCAGACTGGACGCAAAACACTGGCAACAAAAACAAGCTCCCTATGTCCTGAATACTCAAAGCTAACTGTTGCCAGTTTGCTCCATAGCTACGCCCCCACAGCCGCATATAAACCCTATAAATCCCTAGACCTGTAACCCTGGACCCTCCTGAACCCTAAACCCTGAATCGCAGGGGAGCCCTAATGTAGAGGCCTTAGTAACTAGAATACAGTTTTGGGGTACTGTACTACATTTATAATGAGGAACCCTGACAGCAATATAGGCAATGAGTAGGCTTCTATATTGCGTGCGGAAACTTAGGTCAGCTGATGGTCTCGTATGGTCCTATATGGGCTCGCTCTCTTGAAACCCCAACCCTGAGCCCCTTCACTCCAAGCGGTAAGCCCGGAATGCTAATCCTTCACCTTCCCACTACCCCACAAATCCCGCACCCTGCTCCTTAACCCTGAAACCCCTGCTTCAGAATGCAAGTGTTCGACTCCCTCACCCTCCTTGCACGGGGGCAAGTTGCACCTGCCGGACATGTTACCTTGGCCAAGACCAACAAAAATCGTGCTCTCTAGAGGCCGTGCTTTTGGCAAGCATACTCAAGCACACCTGCCTAGGGACTATACTGGGAGGTGAACTATGCTCACCGATAGTTAGGATCTCCTCGCCCGGTGCAAATGTCATCCGATCGCTCCCTCCCTTAAAAAGCCACACAAAAGCAAACAAACTACATGGAGACAAGAAGGGGGGATACTATGACTTATTCTTCCTACCTCTTTTGCTGTCGAGTTTTAAGGCAAGCTCAGCCCAGACCAGCCCTGCGAGACTTCACGGGTTCAGGACTTGGGGCACAGCTAGTAACACTGGATAATGTAGGGGCCTTTATAATAATTAGAACAGGGGTTTGGGGTATATTATACTATAATTTTCTTAAGGAGCCCCCGAAAATATTATTGGCAATTATTTAGACCCCTATGTTATACGTAACCCGTATGACAAGTCTTATCGTGACCTTTACAAGAAGCCTTACGAGAACCCTTGCAAACATAAAGCCGAAACTCCAATATCCCTAAACCGGGTTGTACTTAAGGGATCCCAAAAGTATTTCTGAAAAGGTACCCAAAACTCATCTCCTGAAATTCTCATGCAAACCCTAAACCCATACCCTAAACTGACTTAGAAACCCGGTCCCTGCCCCTATAACCCAAAACTTGTAGTATGACCCTGGCCCTACAAGCCCCAAATACTAGCATTGACACAAAAAACCCTGTGGATTTATGTAAACAACCTTATCAAAGCTTATATATAATATATAGAAACCCCATTGGGTTTCAATAAAAAAACACACCGTTTTGCTGGTCCCAGTCGCTGCCGAAGGGAACGGCTGCTCCGTCGCTTCGGATCCTGGGTCTATGTTACTGTCTGGTGCTTAGTAGGGAATGGGGGAATGGATCCCTATGATAGTCCCTGAATGTCCCTTGTAGTATTCCCTGTTACCCATTCCCCCATTCCCTACTAAGCACCAGACAGTTTACCGTGCTCGCGCGGCTTAGGCTGTTAGGTTTATAGGGCTCAGGGTGCATACGCTTTTTAGGTTAATAGGGTCCAGGGTTTATAGGGCTTATAGGGTTTAGGGTTAAAGCGGTTTTTGGGCTTATAGGGTTCAGGGTTTATAGGGCTTATAGGGTTTATAGGGTTTAGGGTGAAAACGGTTTTTGGGTCTATAGGGTTCAGGGCTCATAGGGCTTATAGGGTTTATAGGGTTTAGGGTGTATACGGTTTTTGGGTTTATAGGGTTCAGGGTTTATGCGGTTTTGGGGTTTATAGGGTTCAGGGTGTAAAAGGTTTTTGGGCTTATAGGGATTAGGGTGTCTACGGTTTTTAGGTTTATAGGGTCTGGGGTGTATACGGTTTTTAGGTTTATAGGGTTTAGGGTGCATACGGTTTTTAGGTTTATAGGGTTTAGGGCTTATAGGGCTTATAGGGTTTATCCATAGGCGCCATAGTAGTTCCTTTTGGGGATTACCTTATAGGATTCTAAACATGAGCCCCAAAAAGGAACTAATATGGGGCCTTATGGGTAATTCGGGTTTATGGGGTTCCTTCCAGGGATGTTCAAGGGTCCATAACGCTAAACCCTAAAATCCTAAACCCTAAACCCTAAACCTCAGCACTCACCCTCGGACTTGCGAGAAGCTCTCAAGGCCAAGCAGCCTCAACGCCCCTAAAAAAGGGGCCTTCATAATTTCGAATAGGGCTTTTGGGGTATATTATACTAGAATAGTAGAATCATAATCAGGAACCCCCCCCAAAAGAGTATTGGTAATTATTAAGGCCACAAAATTAAACCGGAAAACCTGGACCACAAAAATCTCCACCGTTCCGACTACAAGCGGCAAGCATGAGTGCGTCGATCCAGCCGTGCAGGTGGTAAATCCCTCACAGGGGGTTTAGGGTTCAGGGTTCAGGAGCGGCGCCATGTCGACCTTTGAATAAGTCAAAGAAATTTCTTCTCATGGGTAGTTCTCTAAATTAGGGTCCCTTTTAGGGTCCTTTTTTTATAAGAGTGCCGTACTATATTGGGGACGTCCCTATATAAACCGACTATAACATCACAGCCAGACCCTCGTCTCAGCAAGGCTCCGTCGTCGGGTTTCTGGGTGCACCATGTCATGGGAGCCTACAAAAATCTAGGGTTTGGTAGGTAGGTTCAGGTGGGCTATCCTAAACCCTAAACCCTAAACCCTAAAACCCTATGACTATGAGCTGTTGTGTATGTAATTCAGTTTAGGTTTCGGGGTCGAGTCTCAGAGTCGGGCGAGGCTCGGGAGGCATCTAAGCCACTAGGGTCTATGAGGGTCGCTCTCTAAATGAAGCTCCCTTTTGAAGGGTCCCTTTCATAAGGATGCCGTACTATATTGGGGACCCAAAACGGGGCAATAATTTAGAGACCTACCTATGAACAGGTAGAAAAGGTCCGGCTTGTAAGCATCGTAGGATTTCAGAGTGTCTCGGTAGGGTTTTGGGTTGCTAAGAAGTGTCCAAGATTTGTAAGTAAACCCTAAACCCTAACGTCTATAGATCAACCCCTGTATACATTTCATGAGGGTCACAGGCTCCCACCCTCAGGCAGCGGTTGCCGGCTCAACCGAAAACTACGAACCCTAAACCCTAAACCTACAACTCTAAATCATGAATCCTTTTTGCAACCAGGCCTCCTGAGTCCTAAATCTTCAAACCTGATAAGTCGCGAGACTCGACTGCACAACAGCTCATCCATGCTATCCCGAATTTTCGACCCCAAGCTTGCCTCCATTGAATGGAAGCGCCGTCCCGCGCCTGCATCTAAATTATGGTTTCCGGTTGTGCGTTTTGGGCTTAGGTCCGAAGCCCCGAAGCTGGAGGCTGGATTTGTGGATCCAGCCATGCAGGAAACAGCGACTCCTAGACGGGCTTGCATGTGGAGTAGAGGGCATGCGTGGGCGCCCCCTTGAGGCTGCAAAGGCTCTCATAAGGGTCAGCTGAGAGGATGCTGGGGTGTTTGCAGAGACACTTGCCCAAGGCTCCCCGATCGAAATCCTAGACCCGGAGCTTTCCGAAACCAGAGCCTACAGGCATCGTCCCCATGTCCATCTCCCAGAAGATTCAAATCATCTCAGCCGGACCGACCACCTGTCTCGACCCCAGCCCAAATAGAACTCATGAACCCTAAACCTGTTCCACTTTAAGCCCTAGCCCTAGTCCCCAAATCCAAACCCTGAAACTCGACATCTTCGATTCAGACCCCATGACCCTGAAATTCCGCACCCCGAAGCTGCAACACGAAAACGTGACATCCTTGCAACCCCTCGAGGGTTTAGGGCTTAGGGCTTTAACCCTTACACTGACGGCCTAAACCCCGGGCTTTGACGAAGGTTTAAGCGTCGCGTAGATGTGTCGCAGAACTCTGGGTCGGAATGTGGAGGTTAGTCGCAGTTTGGCTTTTGGAAGTGCTCGGAGTGGGGCATTTGATTCAGCAGTATATGTTTGCCTATTGGGGTTTAGGATTTAGGGTTAGGGTTTTGGGNNAGGGTTTGGGGTTTAGGGTAAGATTTCAAGTTTCGCGTTTACCACGGTGGCTATTGGGCCCACACCCGAAGCCCTGCCTCCTGCTGCCGACCGCCGTGGCCGGCGCCGGCCGCATGGCGGCGGGGGGGGGGGGGGGGGGAGTGCTTTAGAGTTTCGCGTTCAGAAGTTAAGGCTTAGGGCTTATAGGGTTCGGGTGAGTCTGGGAGCAGGAGTTCGGGGCTTCGATACGGCCATCGCCTATCTGTGCCTTTGTAGGACGTGCCGATCCAACATCAGGGAGTCACTTGCCGAATCTACCAATCCTGAAAAAGCTGGCAGAAGTGACTGCAGATATCAGCGTCGACAGAGCCGGAGCTGGTCTCTACGCGGGCGATCCCGACTACATCTGCATAATCGAAACCTCTGCACATTATAAGGTGTTTAAGCAGCGTCCCGCTGAAATGCTGTGAACTCCACGCAGACTCCTCCACCTGCGAGTGCCTGCTGCAAATGCCGCAAAACACTTCGTCCAGGAATCTCATACAACCCTAAACCCTAATTAGACAAGCATGGCGGGATCTCAACGAGGCTTCTGCATGCGTTGATGGTTTCACGGTCAAGGACTTGCGAGGAAGCTTCGATGGTTGAGGTCTCATTTATATACAAGGCCCAAGCTATGGGGCGTTTTTAGGTTGCGGGACGAAGACTCGCAACCTTCAAGTCAAAGACCTACAAGACCGTACAAAGCCATGTGACTGTTAATCCACTTGCTCGAAAGGCTGCGCCGCAGCCCACGAATCCCAAACTCATACGCCGTAAGCCACCAAACTGCAAACCAAAAACCCGAAAGCTCCCAGCAACTTGACGGTTTAGGGGTNNNTTAGGGGTTTAGGGGCTTAGGAGTTTAGGGTTTAGGGGTTTAGGGTAGCAGATAACCGACGAGATGCGCTCGGGTATGCGCTCTAGGCCTCAAGTGTGGAACAGAACGTCTGGCTCGGCTGTGGTTTGGTTGAAGCGCTCTGAGAAGTGTTTTGAAGGGTCTGACGGCGTGTTCATAAATTGTCCAGACGGTTCTGGAACGATTGCTGGAGGTTATTGTTGGGATTGGCTTTCTGGGTTTTGGCAGAGCTTACTGAGCCCACAGGGTCACGCAGAGATTGAACGATTTGCACACGGCTACATAACGCACCAGTGACAGAAGTGCATTGTATTGTGGGATGCGTTGTGTCTGCCTGGGTTGGCCTTTAACCCTCTGAAAAATATTTGTATAAAGGGCCCCTTATAAACCCAAATAAAGAAAATAAAACATGTCCCAAACACCAACCTAGCTGTGTGTTGTTTGGCTTACGCCTGCTTACCAAAGACTTCTCGAAATCCTCCAAACATTCCCAAAACTGAACCCTAAACGCTAAACCCTAGACCCAAACCTTCTGCCTTGATCGCATTTCCATTTAGCGGAATTGCTCGTGCTGCTTTCGGCCAGGGGCCCCTCTCCCCGAGACGCCGCTACCCTGACTGAGACCCAAACCCTGGGACCCAAAAGCAAACGAACATGCCAGGCCGCAGTACGGATTAATCGGGAAGTCCTCGCAGATGGGTTCGTGAGGAACGGCCTCGAAACAATGAGAGTTCTGGGCTAAAAGGGGTTTGAGAGTTTGCGGTACAACCCCGCCGCTGACCTCCTGAGCCCTGAGTCTTGAGCATATACCAATGCGGGATTTTACCCATACAAGTACTGTTGATGAGGTAAACAGTGCCGGAGTTAGTTCTTCACACTCCTACACTAGTCAATTTATCATTCAGCTTTCTGAAATAATGTTGGGACCCTGTGAAATGGGGTGTGGGGGGGGGGGGGGGGNNGGAGGATACATGACGAGAGACTCCTAGATCTTGAGACTGTGATGATCGGAGGAGGATACATGACGAGAGACTCCTAGATCTTGAGACTGTGATGATCGGAGATCTTTCGGTGATCGTTTGAACCTGCAGGTGTGCAGAATTGACAGCCGTGAGTAAAGTGTTGTCTTGATATCCACCCTTACGCCGCGAGGCATCTGAGCAGAGTCACTCTCAGCACCAGCGGTTGGAAGTTCTGCGCATCTAAGAGAGTTTCTATGCATTAATTTCTTGCGCTTGCGCAGCCGGAATAACGACCACTATTCTTCCTTTTGGTTCCTTATGAATATTGCGCCATAATATATCCCAAAGCCCTGAGGTGCCGCAGACCCCTACATTAACGGACAGCCCGCCAGTTCCACATCACAAGGTGCATCCCCTAAACTCTAAACCCCCCTTCCCTAGAACGTCACGCACACCCCCAAAAACATGAAATCTCTACGGTACGACTTGGAACTATGCGAATCCCAGTAAGCCGCACTTTGCAGAAGAAGCTGTTGGCTTCCTTACATACACCCCGAAACTCACCTAGAGCCTAAACCCGGCAATCCTAGACTTTAGACTCCAAAACTCGAACTCCTAGAGCCGCACTTTACCATCGCCAGAGACTCTCGACCCTTTTTGCAACGGGCTTCTTGCCTCAAACACTAAGCTTTACTGTAACTCACTCCTTTTAAACCCTAAACCCTGAACAAAGGGGGGCCTAAATAATTACCAATACTATTCTGGGGGTTCCTTATTCTAATTCTAGTATAGTGGGCCCCAAAACCTATTTTGATTATTAAGGCCACTATATAGCAGCCTGTCATAGCTCCCTTATAGAACCCTTTAAAGGAACCCTGTTCTAGTTATCAAGAAATCAAGGCCCCTAAATCCTAAACAAAGGGGGGCGTGGGCAGATAAGCTGAGGGCCACGGCTGCAGTCATCCCGCCGGGGCGAGCGAAGGTTTTTGTGGGGAAGACGTCGCCGAGGCGGTCCTCGGGGGTTGTTAGGGTGTTATTGTTTGTTGCACGACCCTTTTCGTTTTTTAGGGTTTAGGGTTTAGAGTTTTTTGGGCAACGTTTAGGGTTTAGGTTTTTTGGGTTAGGGTTTAGGGGGGTTTGGGAGCTAAGGCATTGTGTCGGAGGTAGTTCCCTATGCATGCATATGTTTGTGCACAGATGGGTTGAACCCGAACCACTGGCCCAGGGAACGATGACCCAGAATCCTGTCTCTGGCACATAGGACATGGTAGCTGTACCATGCTTGCCTCTTAGAGACTACTAGCTGTCTCTTGAAGAAAGTTGTAACAATTTGAACCTGAAGCTACTCTTGCTGTTTTCTGGACTGCCTATATAACACAAACCTCTTAACCACCTTTATCCGTAAACCGTTTTTGGCAGTGGATCTGTGACACTTCTCAACCAGCTTCTGCCGAACCCGAAGCAGAACTGCCAAAGTTGTCCCTAAACCCGAAACCGTGGCAAGGGCTGCTTAAGGACTCTAAGAGGGCCAGGCGCCTCTTTGGCTTAGGGCTATGGGCATCGAGATCCTGACCCCTGGGAACCCCGAAATCTACAGGATCTGCTCCAGAGGTGAAAGGGCACACCGCTTGGCCTTCGGCAAAGGTCTCTAAGACTGGCCCATTACAAATAAAGGGAACTGAGTGGGACAGATCCACAATCATTAATTGCCCTGAACCAAGTCCTGACGAACCCCCCGGACCAAAAATCAATGCAGTCCTGCTCGGAGCAATATGGGCGCCTTAGCTGCAGGACGCTCATCTAACAAGGGGGTCCACAAACCTGGTAAGCTAGGGCTTAGAATCCAGGGTACGCGCTTAGAGCTGGGCGAATAGCTCTAGTTAAAAAGCACATGTTCAAACACTGTGACATCCTGGTGTGGGTGTGGGTGTGGCTGTATTGAACTTGTGGTTCCTGCTGCGACTTTAAGCGGACACCACCTCCACCACCTACAGCCTACCGCCTTTCGCCCTAGCCTATCACGCACAACCACCGATACCACTGCGACCACGATTGGCTTGCTCCTGCTCTAGCTCTTGCTCTAGCGCTTGCTCCTGCTTCTGCTGCGTCTCTTGCCCCTGCTCCTGCTCTTGCTCCGCGTTTGCTCCTGCTCTTGCTCTTACTCCCGCTCTTGCTTTTGCTTTGCTCTTGCTGATGCTCCCGCTTTTGCTCTTGCTCCTACTGTGCTCTAAGGGTATTCGGAACCTCGAAACCCTCCCCCTATATAAATCAGAATCGGTTTTGAAGGGCAGGGATGATTTCGGGAGGATTGGGCCCAATGAGTTTTGTTTATTAGGGGGGGTGTTTAATGAAAGGGGGAGCGATTAGGGCTTAGTGAGACGAGGGAAGAGTTGACCCAACATTGCATTACACAATATGAACAAATCTAGCACACCCTAAACCCTAAACCGATCTCCCCACCGCAGGCCTAGTGAATAGATCCTACAATCCTCGAGCTCTCTACACCATCAAGCTCTGAACAGTCATTACTTCTTTCGGCTCCACAATTTACCCGGTGCTGAGGCATCAGAAACTAAGGCTGATGTTCTGAATAGGCTCCGACCAGACAACAAGACCAACAAGCAAAACCACAACGATTGTTACGACGCGGTCCTCTAGCAGCCTTTCCGTCGCTCAGCAACACTTAGCAAAACCCTCAAAGCCTAGGAGAAGCCTCTGAGAACCTTTCGAAGCCTCACAAGAAAAGCCCACTGCAAAACCGTCAGAACCAACTACGCTAAAGCCTAAACCCTGAACCATCCTAAACCCTAAACCATCCCAAACACTTTCTTGAAACCCTCAGAACCAACTCAGTTGAGAAGGGCCTGGGCCTTTGCCCAGGCCCACAACCCCTTAACGGGGCTCCTTTGAAGGGTTCCCTTTAAAAATGCTGTTTCAAGGGTTCCTTCAGAGACATCCTTGTAACTTAGGGGCCTTAAGACGTTCAATGCGGTTTTGGGGCATACTGTAGGGGCCTTAATAATTAGAATAGTGTTTTGGGGCCCATTACAATACAAATATAAGAAGGAACCTCCAAAATAGTATAGGTAATTATTTAAGCCCCGTACAATACAAGTGTAACAAAGCGGGAACTACCGTACTTATTCCGCACCCTTCCCTAGGAAGCCTGTCTTTTTTGCCCCCGTGGCTGCAAGCTGTGTCCGTCTCCTCTCCGTGCGACGGAAGGCAGATTGGAGACTCTTGAGCTCAAGGGGGTTACTGTAGGGGCCTTAATAGGTAGCATAGGGTTTTTTGGGGGGCTCCTTCTTATAATTTATAGTACCAAAAACCCAAGCCCTGTTCTAACTATTAAGGCCCCTTTATTCGTCTAAGGTTCAGGGCTTCGGGAAGCAAGGGTTGCCACAAGGGTTCATACAAGGGGGGCCCCTAAAGGATATGGGATTCGGGGTTTGCCAGGTTTTACCGGGCCATTGGTTCAGAGGGTTTCGGGGGAACGAGGTTTATTGTTGCGGGGCTTAAGGTTTTGAGCTTCTGATCTTGGAGCCTCTTTCAGGATTTGTGGGCAGCCCTTCGTTTTCTGGGTCTAGACTTTGGGCTTCAGGGTTTTTTTGCCTCCTACCTAGCAAGGACAAGCCCGCAATGCAGGGTAACGTGACCAGGGTTTAGGGTTCAATGTCCTCGAATGTACAGGGTCCAGGGTTTGGAATTTTCAGGCCAGGACGCTGAGACTGCGAAGGACCCCTAAACCCTAAACCCTAAAGCCAGCCGCAGGTTCCTCACCAAAGCTCTGCTGCGCCTTTGGCACACAGACAGCAAAGGACCCGACTTTAGGTCCTCGTATAGGTAAGCTGCGGACATCAGGAACAAAAGTATCACTGTCTAAACATCCTCAAATGGCGCAGATTCTTCCGCTGAGAACGAGATCTCACCATCAAGAGCTGTGAACCTGCAGCAAGGATAACAGCAGGAGCTGCCTTCAAGTCCCTACCATTAGGGTTTAGGGTTTAGGGTTTGGGGTTTAGGGCAACAAACCGCCAGCCGATTCAGAGGTTTAGGGTTTAGCCGCTACGAGTGCGAAACAACATCTCCGGCTTCAGACCTGCGTAGTCCTCTAAATTAGGGTCCCTTTTTGGATCCCCAAAATAGTACGCCACCCTTACAAAAAGGATCCTAATAGGGTCCCTTTTTAGATCCCCAAAATAGTAAGACACCCTTACAAAAAGGATCCTAAAAGAGACCTTGATTTCGAACCCAGCTGGCGATCCCTGCTCAAAAACCGCCTGCCTCTCCCAGCTGCTCTGAATCCAAGCCTGGAAGCATTAAAATCCCTAAACCCTAAAACCCTGGGAAAACCTATAACCCTATAACCCTATAGCCCTAAAGCCCTACATCCTGAAACCCTAAAACCCTAAGCCCTCTTTTTACACAAGCTTGATCGGAGCTCGCCCGGCCAATGTCCCTCGTAGCCCTAAGCCCTCAACTAAACCCTAAAGCCTAAACCCTAAACCCTAAACCTAAACCCTAAAAACCCTAAACCTCAAACCCCTAAAGCATATTTGTCGGCTTCGACTTCCTGGCGCCTTCAGCTGAAACTGCCAGGGCCGAGGCCGGACACTCTAACAACTACCTTAACCTACCAGAACCTACTTTTTTGTAGGGCCCCTATAAATCCCCTGTTAGGGTTTGTAATAAGAACCAACAAAAAAGTGGGTTTTGGTAGGTTAAGGTAGAACATCTATTATGGTAAAACAGGGGCCTTAATTCTGAAAAGAGGGTTTGGGGGGGTTCCTTTATGGTTTAGGTTTAGAGTTTAGGGTAAAACAGGGGCCTTAATAACTAGAATAGGGTTTCTTTAAAGGGTTACTGTAAGGCTTGTTATGAAGGTTTGCTCTGTAAAGGTTTAGTGTAGGGGCCTTAATATTTAGTAAAAGGTTTTGGGGTACATTATACTATAATTTGAATAAGGAGCCCCCAAAATAGTGTTGGTAATTATTTAAGCCCCTATATTGAAAGCCGGCGCAGGGTAAAAGACACGAGCCATAAAACTGCCTGCCAGCCTACGACGTTGCTTAGATCCTTGCGGTAGCCTGACAACTTCAGCCTTCAGGTGACTATCGTGCACAATGGCTTATCTGGGTTGGCTTTTAAACCCTCTGAAGATATCTACATAAAGGGTCCCTTATAAACCCCAAAAAATAAAAAATCTTCCAAAACAACCTAGGCAATGGGGACTGAAGCATCCTTAACCCGAAACCCTTAACCATAAACCCTAATCCCTATTCCGTATCTGGACTTTGTCCCTTCGACGGATAATTGGATCGATTAGTCCAGGGTCCAGAAGGGGCTAACGCCGCCAGGAGGCTGTGCCGTCGCTCGAATGTCCCGACTCCTCAGAGTCTCCCCCAAAGGCGTGAAAGCAGAAGTTAGTCAACGGGGTCGTGCATGCAACAAACTAGCCGGAGTATTCATGGGCACGGCATGGTTCGGTTTCAGAAGACCACGAAGGAATGGTTCGTGCAAGATTGGCCTGGGCCAGCGGGGAGGGGGGGGGAGGGGGGGCATCTCTGAAACAGAGCGACTCAACAGAATTTCTGCTGCATCTGGTCATGAAAGCAATCTCACAGTTTAGGATTTTCTGCGAATCTCGAGCTTGAAGCCTGGGTTTGCGACCGTGGACCCTACAATGCAAAACCTGGGCCCTTTGACCCTTTTTGACACAGGCTTGATTGGAGCTCGCGCTTCAACCCTTTTTTTACACAGGCTTGATTGGAGCTCGCAAGGACAATGTCCCTCGTGGCACATCGCATTCGTGGGGAGATGCCCAAGGGTAAGTACGCTCATGAGGATTGTGCACTTCAGCCCTAAACCCGAAACCTTTTCTGCGTGCAGGACACTACGCCCTAAATCCCCTCCAGAAAAGTTCCATACGCCAGAACCCTAAACCTTGAAACCCCGGAACCCAAACCCCTGAACCCCAAATCATGAACTCCCACACCAAGAATATGGCAGCCAGGGCACGAGGAGCCGATAAAAATGGTGTAGCTGCCATCCACCAGCACCCACCTTCAGGGCTTGTTGAGAGACCCGGAGACTCTAGACCTGTGCTGTTTTTCGGCCTAGGCTTCGACTGTTTAGAGCATTTTAGAGCTTTAAGGTTTAGGGTTTAGGGTTTAGGGGTTTAGAGCTTATAAGGTTTAGGGTTTGGGGTTTTAGGTAGCTACCAGTACTTGAGGGCTCTGGAGGGGGGCTCTGAGTTTCGGCTCTTTTCGGGCTTCTTAGGGATTTGCATTTTTGAGCTTAGGACCGGGTTGAGGCCTCAGGGCCGACAGGAGGCACATGACATCACAACGCAAGTATTTTCGAATGAAGCCTGTAGTAAACATATTATGAAGAAAAAAATTTTCCCTTATAATATGTTTAGTATATAACAGGCCTGTGAATCCTTTGCACAGTTCCCAACTTCTTACGCGCTTTTACTCAAGCTCCTTCTTCGCCCTAGCTGGTTATCGATGTTGGAAGTCGGAACTCGACTCTTCTGAGTCTGGCACTCCTAGTAGGTAACCGCAAGTGGTCAGTAGGGGCCACAAAATTGAGCACAAAGTGTATCCGGCGCCGGCAGAAGCCCCATGGTTCAAAACTTTATACTAACAAAGTGGCACTATAGTTAAAGTTTAGCGGTTTAGCGCTACAGGTCCCGCCCCCCAACTCAAACAGATAATCACCCGGCAACACTGTAATCATGAAAAACTGGGGTTCCTCTCACAAGCAAGCGAAGACTAA